TCTAACAGAAACCTTTATTAAGGCATCCTGAAAGGCATAGCCTGATCTTTGAGACAGCCATAGAGAAGGTTCTAGCTCCAATTCTTGAACCCCGGGTCCACCATCTTCTGTCATCTGTCTCCCCAGTCTCCTCTTGCCTTCTGCGATCAGGTCCTTTCTTTCTGGGCTGTGTATTCCGTCTGCACTTTCTTTTCCTCTCTAAGCCCTAAACTCGACCCCATTTCTACATCGTCCAGCCCTGCATTTCCCAGGCTCAGGGTGAATAACGGTCCTGCTTTGCAAGGACCACAGGGGCTTCCTGGAACGGGGGACTTTTGCTGTGAAAACCGGGACATGCTGGGCAAACCGAGATGGTTGGTCCCTGGATGACTCAGTTACTTGCTGCCTCACACCCCAAAACCCCACTTTTGTTCATTGCACCCACTTTCAGCATCTCACCATGGGTTTGGGCAATTAGAGTCCACCTCTAATGATGTCACAACATTTTTAAGTCCCTAACACTTCACACCGACATTTTTAACCCCAGATCAAGGGACAAGCACACACCTTCATTCTTATTCTAAACGAGTTCTTTTGGAAATGATCATTTTTAAATGTCTCAGTCCTTTTTATACTTGCCTCTCCCTTTAAGCACTCTCTTTCTACAGTTTTCTAAAGGTTTCTCCCCTTTCTCTCGCTGCTTCCATTCTTCTCTGTCCTACATTCTCTCCCTGATGCCTCCCCTGCTCCCCCCTTTGGGTCCCTTCTCTCCCTCTTCCCTTAATAGCCCCCGGGGTACAGAGGGACAGCAGAGGCTGCAGCAGCATCTCAGAAGGTTTCCAAAAGGAGGCCAGCACTATAAAAAGGTCTGCTAGGACCTGCGACAGGCAACCCTTCAGGCCACTCACCGCAGCCCTGCCGCTTCTCACACACCGTCCCTTCTTGCTTAGCCTCTTAAGCTGTCTTTGCCTGGTTCCCCCACACCAGGCACTGGGCACCACAGAGCAAGAGACAGCTCCCCATCCAACCCTTCCCGCCCCTCTGCTTTCCCTTTCAGAGGGTCACTACTAATTACTTCAGAAAAGAGAATGTCAAGGGCCTCCCTGGTGGCGCAAGAGGTTAAGACATAACCTATGAAGCAATCCGCAGCCTCTGCAGCACGAGTTCAATCCCCAGCCAACCAGGGAGCAACCCACATGGCTCAGCAGACCTCTCCTGACTCCCCACTGCTCCCCTCAGCAGTGTACTTCGGTCAGTCTGCCTGTTCTGTTCCCCACTCTGTCTCTGGTGAGTCCTCTCACCCCCACACCTCTGGCCTGTACCCCAGTTCTTGTATGCATAAATAAATCTTAAAAAAAACACTTAAAAAAAAAGAAAAGAGAGTTTCAAGATGTGAAATGAAATTATAGGTATTAGAAATCTCATAAATGACAGCGGAAGCTAAAATAAGAGTAAGAGGAAAATTTATTATAAAGTGCTTTCACCAAAAGAGTAGAAAGGGGGCCTCTCTGGTGGCTAAAGGAGTTAAGACACAGCACTATGAAGCTCTCTGCAGCCACTGCAGCACAAGTTCAATCCCCGGCCAGGGAGCTACCCACATGGCACAGCAGACCTCTCCTGTCTCCCCACTGCTCCCCTCAGCAGTGGATTTCAGTGGATCCACCTGTTCTGCTCCCCACTCTGTCCTCTCACCCTCTGCACCTCTGGCCTACACCCTAGTTTCTTGTATGCATAAATAAATTTTAAAAAATCTTAAAAAAATATGCAAACAATACTTAAAAATGCAACAATAAAAAACCAAATAGCCCAATTTAGAGGCAGAAGATTTGAATACACATCTTACAAAAAAAGATATACACATGTCAAATAAGCATATCAGCTGGCATGAGAGAATTTCAAGTTAAAAATATTAACATATTAAAACGATACCACTACACACTAATAGAATGACTAAAAATTTTTAAAAACTGACACTACTGAAAGCTGACGAGGATATGGAACAACAGAAATGCTCATTCATTGATGGTGAGAATGCAAAAGGTACAGCCACTTTGGAAGATGGTTTGCTGGTTTTTACAGAGCTAAACATAATCTTACCATATAACCCAGCAACTATACTCCTAGGTATTTATCCAATTGATTGAAAACGTATGTCCCTACATACCAACATATGAATGTTTACAGCAGTTTTATTCATAATCAACTACAACAAAACTACAAGCAATCAAATGTCCTTCAATAGAGAAATGAATAAACTACAGTTTATCAGTACAATGGAATATTATTCAGCATAAAAGGAAATCAGTTATGAGACCATAAAAAACGCAGAGGAACCTTAACACAAATTGCTGAATGAAAGAACATAATATAAAAAGACACATATTATATGATTCGAATTATATGACACTCTGGAAAAGGCATTTATAGACAATAAAATGATCAGTGCTGGCCAGGAGTTTGGGAAGAAGAGGGAAGGATGAATAGGTGAAGCATAAAGGGTTTTAGAAGAAAAACTGTTCATGTGATACTGTTATGATAGATACATGACATTACGCATTTGTCAAAAGCCACAGAACTTCATCGCAAAAAGAGTGAACCCTAATATATGCACTTTAAAACAAAAATCATTTGCGAGGTTGAAGGATTTCAGGGAAAAAAAATACATAGTGTGACAAGAGAATCTAACTGTATTACAAATCAGGAAACAGCCTCACTGAAGGGGTTGAGCGACAAAGACAGTAAGCTACGTAACTCTGGGAATGAGCGGCGCCTGCGGGACCGAAGGGGAAGGAACGCAACAGCGCTGTGCTCTGGCTGATCATGTTCTCTCTGTGGAGCTTGGTCTGATAGTTCATGCTCTCTATGGATGCTGAAACTGAACAATTAAGTACAGGGATGGCAGATGGTGGGAGCTAGGCTTCTCACAGTTTGAGTGAAAATTTACAAATAAGGGAGGCATCTAGAATGATCCATGTGGTGAAGGACTAAAGTTGCAGATATCAGGATGAACTCATGTTTAGCTTATATACAGATGGCTACACAGAGATTTATAGATGTGTGCACATACACAGGGCTTACTATTCAACCTTAGGTTGAATAGTCTGTCTTCTGACAGAACCTAAAAGATAGCCCTAGCACACACAGGAGTGGGGAGTTATGCTCCCCAACTTGAAAGCAGGGTATTTACAGAAACAGAGCAGCGGCCACAGAGAGCAGCAGGGCGGGAGACCAGACCTCAGGAAAGCAGTGGGCAGCACTGTAACAGGAACAGTTGGGAAGAGGGGTCAGAAATGGCCCTTGCCTATCAGTAATGGTGAAAAATGCAAGGAAAATGGCCCTAGCAGCAGGCCCGCTGGCTTGAGGCTGATGTGCAACCCAACTTGGGTTGAGATTAAGGCATCTCCAAGCAGATTTCTAAGCTGACATTTGGCTCTAGTCCTTCTCCCATGCCTGTGTTCTGAAAGCGTCGGGAGCAGAGCTCGTGAAGAGCTGAGTCCGTGAAGCATGAAAACCCGCTGCCATGGCCCTGGCAGGGTATGCAGTGTGGCTTGTTGCAAAAGTCTTTGTGCTCGGGGAGGTGAAGAGCGTTTTGAGTACTTAGAAGCTGGCGACTGCATGTGGCCACTCAACCTGCAGGCCACACAGAAGCTGGACCCGTCACAGCCCAGAAAAGGAATCTTCTGGATTTCCAGGGGTGATCTCCTGAGCCCAGAGCCCTGTACCAGCTACGTCATTTAGGAAATGGGAAGCACACCAACAGGTGGGGGCTGCAGGGGGTATTGATTTGTCAGGAAGGAGGAATTTGGACTTGAATTTCAAACCAAACTGCCACTACTGGCCACAGGCCTTTGAGAGTTACTAGCCAATTTGAGCCTCACTTCCTTTTCACAAACAAGTCACCTCACTTTTCCCTCTGGTGGTCAGGGAATCAAACGAGACATACATATGCCAAGGCAGCTGGCAAGTGAGCGAGTGCTAGCTAAACCAGCGGTTCTCAAAGTGTGGTCCGGGGACACCTGGGGGTCCTGAGACCCTCTCGGAGTGTATGAGGTCCTGCCTTTTCCAACTAGTATCTGCATGTGTAGGCCGCAGTTTCTTTGTGTTGCCTTTGCCAATAGCTGGTATGAGACTCCATTTGTCCTTTATTCAAAGATTTTCACAAGTATAAAACCATCATGCCATTCTTCTATTTAGGGGGGTGTGAGAGTTATTTCTCATTAAAGATGTCGTTTGTGGGGGCCTCCCTGGTGGCACAAGGGGTTGAGCACCGCATTATGAAGCTATCCACAGCCTCTGCAGCACGAGTTTCATCCCCAACCCACCAGGGAGCCACCCACATGGCACGGCAGACCTCTCCTGTCTGGCCCCCGCTGCTCCCCTCGGCAGTGTATTTCAGTAGATCTGCCTGTTCTACTCCCCACTCTGTCTCTGGTGAATCCTCTCACCCGGACCCCCGCTTCTCTGGCCTGTACCCCAACTCTTGTATGCATAAATAATCTTTTTTTAAAATGTCTTTTGTGTTCAAATACAATGGGCTCATTATTTTTAAGTGAAAAAAACATTAAAAATTTTGTTTTAATTCCGTAAAAATTAGTAAGTGTGAGCAGAAGCTTTCCAAGGCCCTCAACTTTTCGGCGTGGAACGGGGTCCGGGGACAAACACTTCGGGGACGGCGGTGCCGAGCAAAGGCGCGGGAGCCTGGGTGGAGAGGCGCCCCCACAGGCGCACCCCGGGACCTCCACGCGCGCCCGCGGTTCCCGCCTGTGGGGGCGGCCAGTTCTGTTTCGGGGACTGACAGATCGCGGGCTTGTGCCCATTTCGCCGGCCCCCGCCGGGGTCCCCGCGCAGAGACGCACCGGCGAGGGGCGACCCCCGGGTGCGCGACCTTGGCCGAGGTCGCGCGGTGCCCCCGGCCGCCAGGGCGCCCGCTGGGGGTCGGGGAGACGGCGCCGGACCGCGGGGGTGAGCCGACCCCGGGCGAGCCCGGGCGGGACGACGAGGGGCTGGGGACCTGCACTCACAGCCTGGGCAGCACCGCCGCCGCTCCACACGCCACACTGCGCAGCACGCACGGCGCCATCTTGCCGACTCGCGCACCGCCCCCGCGTCGCCCCGCCCACAGCGCTTTTGGCCACGCCCCTCGTCCCGGCCACGCCCCTCTGTCCGGCCACGGCCCTCATCCAGGCCACGCCCCTCGACCGGGCCACGCCCCTTGTCCAGGTCACGCCCCTCGGCCCGGCCACGCCCATCATCCAGGTCACGCCCCTCGACCGGGCCACGCCCCTTGGCCAGGACACGCCCCTCATACAGGCCACGCCCCTAGGCCCGGGCCACGCCCCCTATTTCTCCACGCCCGGCCTGGTCCCACCAGGTGACCTCTCCCTCTGCACCTGCCCTAACATCCGTGTCCCACCTCCCTATACCCTGAGAACTGGCACATAGCCTTATTAGAAACGCCCTGCACCTTATGACTTCAGGTGAAGTTGTACCTTCCTTGACTTACCTACTGGTTCAATTTCTTTCACATTGTGTTTGAAGAAATTGTAGCTGTGCCCATGCTTGCCTGGACTGTGCTGGTTTTGCGGAGCATCTCCACCAGATTTTAGTGTATAGGTTTTAAGAACTGTTTTCTTTTAATTTAATTTAATTTAATTATATATATTTTTACATCATTTTTCATTTTTGCACAATGTATGCGTTTTCATCTTGGTTATAGCCCCCATTCAATTCCCACCCTCCTTATTTTGACTGTAATCCCTCCTATTCCCCCTCAAGAACTGTTTCCTGGTGTTGGTATAATTTAAAATGAAGTTTGGTTAACTTTCCTACATAGCATAGGTATTTATGGAGAAGAGATTTCCAGATATAACAGAGAAAGGGATGCAGAGTTCTTCCTTTGATACTAGTCCAATCTGTCTTTACTCACAGCTTCTAAACTAAAAATAAAAGTACATGTTTGCCCCAAGGGCATTTTTTTAAAAAAAATATGAAATTTAGCAGGGTGAATAATTCTGAGACCTATTATCCTGTTGAGCTAAACAATCTGGTGTGGGGGTAAGAGCCTGGCAGAGATCTGAGAAAGGACAGGAACCAGAAACATCACACCTCTAGGGCATAGCGGGCTTAGGGCTGCTTTGGGGGCAACTAGAATTATCAAGCAAAACTGATAACTGTGGATGATTGATGGCAGGTACATGGCAAGGGACTGGGGTTCATGTGTTCCTTGGCTATCTGTATATAGGAAAATACTCTTTTTTAAAAAAATTAGAAACAAAAATCAATTCAACTAATGTTTGCACAGAAAGTGCCAGAGGCAAATTTACCTAAAGCCACAGGAGATTAAGCCCCTGGGTCCTTGATTTGCACTGGCCCCTGGCAAGTCCCCACCAATGCAATAACAGGCCATTTGTTTTTGTAAACTGTACAAATGTAAGCTATGTTAGCTGTCATTGATTAAGACACTTTCTTTGTCCCCCTCAACTTTCCTTTGCAAGGGAGCAAAAACCTGCCACCCCCAAAAAACATTGTTTTAAAAGGTTGATTTAGGGAGGCAGAAGTTTGGGTATAGTTTTGTGAAAGACATAAGTATAAAGGAGAAGTTCTCTCCCTTAAAGTTGTCTCCTCCCCTCTTCCTGGAACCTAATCTCCTTTTTTCTTATGAGTGGAGAAGGTAGAACTTAAATTGCATGTCTTTGTCTAATGTGCCTTCCCCCACAAACTCTCTGACTTCCTCTTTCTTCACCCAACCTCCCTTGCCTTCGCTATTTAAGAAGGCGTCTAAACCACATGGGTGACTTAGTCAGCATGCTGGGTTTCTCCCATGCATATTATTATTATTTTTTTAAAGATTTATTCATCCATGCATACAAGAGCTGGGGTACAGGCCAGAGATGCAGGCAGTAAAAAGCACCAGAGACAGAGTGGGGAACAGAACAGGCAGATCAACCGAAGTACACTGCTGAGGGGAGCAGCGGGCAAGTCAGGAGAGGTCTGCTGTGCCATGTGGGCTCCTCCTTGGCCCACCGGGGATCGAACTCATGCTGTAGAGGCTGTGGACAGGCCCACAGTGCGGTGCTGCGGTGCTCAACCCCTTGCGCCACCAGGGAGGCCCCCTCCCATGTACATAAGAGGTATATATGTTGTTGTTAAACTTTTCTGTTTTTTTATCAATATGTCTGATGACTCTTTGATTATTTGCCAGCCTAGAAAAATCCAGGGAATTAGGGGATGATTTCCTTCATGCCCTGATCCCCTCTCTGGAACTTCCCTTGTGTTGGGTGACATTGGAAAAGCTGTAGCCATTTGGGGAGTTCAGCTAAGGAGAAATTGAGCTGGGATATATTTGGATGTATATATTTGGTATCTATCTGTTTATGTGATTTGCAGTCCTCCATGTTTCGTTATTATTAGCTGTCCTAGTTTAGGAACGGCTTCCAGGAATGCTCTTGCCTGCTGTTTTGTCCCACCTGCATAAAGGTGCAAGGGGAGGAGTCATATCCCAGCCAGAATGTGCCCCTAGGCCCTCTGCACCAGATATGTGTGTGGCAGAAAAGAAACAGTTTGAAATGTATGGAGCCCAAGACCATCTGTGGAAAATTCTTCTAGTCACCAGCCATGTGAAGCTGCAAACGGAGGCTTTGGTTCTTATCTTTGCTCAATACCACAGCGCCCCCCCCCTCGCTGGGGCACCCTAGCAGCGTCATGGTGGTTCCAGGTAGAACCAGCTCACCTGGAACCATGTCTCCCATGGGTCCTTGCCCCTGTGGTTCTGGTCAGGAGTTCTGAGCAATAGATATAAAGCAGCAAGTGGCGTTTGAAAAAAATGGGGTGTCAGGTGTGCAGCTGCTGATCTGTGGGCTCACCTGTTGACAGGGGCAGGCAGGGCTAATTTCCTCCCTTAGAGATAGTCCAGAGGTCTCATGACTTTACACTCACGTTCACCTTTTTTTCCCAATTGAAACGAACTTAAACAATTACTGACGTGATTCCTGGCCTGGAGAAGCTGTTGAATGCACCCTGAGGACATCGTGCTCAGTGGCGTAAGCCAGGCTCAAGAAGGCAAATACCATGTGAATCTATTTCTACGAGGAGCCCAAAGTTGTCAAATTCATGAAGACTGAAGGAGAATGGGGGTCACCAGGGGTTGGGGGGTGGGGAGTTTGCATATAATGAAACAGTTTCCATTTGGGAAGATGAGAAAGTTCTCCAGGTTCAGGTTGGGGATGGCGGCACGGCCACGTGAAGGCACCGGATCCTGTGGAACTGTTCACGCCCCACGAGTAAAGTGGTAGGTTCTATGTTGTTAAGAAAAAAGATTTAAAGAAGAAGCTATCAGTCTACTGAAAAAGACAGGCAGGTGAACAGTGGGTCCCGAGGTCTGCTGGGATATGTGGAAAGGAGTGACAGATGACTGGGAGGTTTCTTCTGGGCTAGGCAAGCAATCAAATTAACATCAAGTAGTAGGATTTTAAAATTACATATGTATGCGGAATCTACATAGAAAGATTCCAAAGCCACGGAGGGGATATATGGCAACTAAGAAATGGAAAAGGGTCCTGGGCCTTCAAGGAGGGGGACTCACCTGACGAAGAGAGGGTGTCACAGGACTTAGGCCAGATACTAGATACTGGCCCTGCTACATAAAGAGGTTTCTCTCACAGAAGCATTATTTCTGATTAAAAACAAAACAAAACAAAATCTGGGTAATACCCAAGAATTTTCATTCTTCTAGGTAGTTAAGAGAGTGGTTTGAGTTTCTCACCAGCCTGCAAGATAATCCACATGCCCAAGTGACACAACTTAGGGAGGCCTGTTCTGTTCCCCCCGGGGGGACCTTCCTGAATATCTGGGGGAGATGAATCCTTCCCGAACAAGGAGGTGGAAAGGATGGTGCAATTCCTTCTTTGTGAGAGGGCCAGGGAAACCAGAGGGGCTTTGCAGAGCACAGGGTCACCACCGGGGACGTGGGAAGTGAGTCTGCAGGGAACGGGAAGAGTAGAACAAGCCAAGAGAACACGCAGGGAAAAGTGTGATGACTTTGGGGGCCAGACTGTAAACCACCTAAATGCTCAAATCTCACTCAATGTGAAAAAAATGAACCTGAATGGAAACATGTTACATCGCTCCCCCTTGGCCTTGTAATTCATGAAACTCAAATAACTCACGGTGCTTTTTTAGTTCTCCAAATCATGTTTATTGAGCTAAAGTAGGTTTATAGCTTTGTATCTGCTCCGGGGTTACAGCTTCAACCTCCACACACCTGTGCTTTCACACCCCGCCCACCACCAGCGCCCCCAGCATCCTCCACCAGGGGCCACCCTCTGCTGTCGTCTTGATTCAACACCACCTCTGGCCAACAGTCCCGCCCAAGGAGGAAATGGATAAAAATATTGAATCAACTCATGGCTTAACTCGAACCATGCAAAGCTTAAGTAACTCAAATAACCTAAAGTTTAAATAACCACCGAAAGCATCACAGGAAAATGAAGCTGCATTATCCTTTTGTTACAAACACCAGCAGCTTTTATGACGCTCCATTTTCCCCTGCCTTTCCGTGGCTGCCGATGTAGGTTATTTTCACCAAAGTTGAGTCTCAAAGGCTGAAGGGCCAGTGTCACTGATTTAAGACTTCAGAATGCTGCACTTAGAAAGAGGCATAACAGAAGTTCCATGGAGTGATTTTCCAACGGTGGCATAGATAGAACTATACTCTGAGCTCATCCCTGCCTCCCGCTGCTCTGATACAAAACCCTCCCGGCCTCACCTCCTGGCCGGTGCTGCCTTTGATAGCGTGATGACTATGTCTGGCCTTCTTGGGGAGAGAGGAGGAGAATGTCTCTCAAATTTAGGCCAAATGCAGAATAACTAGCAACCACATTGTGGGCTCTCTGAGCCTTGGCTTTCTCTTTCTAAACTGAGGAAGTTAGAACAGCTGACCTCTCCGATTCTTCTGGGCCCAGCTGCTGCTTGTTCAGAAGCTTTTTTCCAATCTCAGCTCCCAACACTGTGCTGCAGCTCCCCCCAGTGCCTGCAGGCGAGGGTGCGCTTCACCTCTCGCTTTTCTCCATCGGCAACTCTGACCCTCTCTTCTTTCACCCCCCCATACTTCTTAATCCAGGTCTGAAATCGGTGGATCCTGGCCTCCTTGGTGATGTCTTTGTTGAAGGCAAGCCCCGCGAGG